CAAAAGAGCGATTAAAGAAATGGAAATTCAAGTAGATATTTCAGACCTGGATACTTATGCCAGGTGGTTTGGTCATAGCACCGAAGGCTGGCAAGGCCGCAGTGAGCCAGCCCTTCGCTGTGCTGAAAAAGCCCTTTGGGAGAACAATTTGGCAGAAGGTGCCTGGGCCGGGCATGCTGTCCTGGGGACAGGCTGAGTAGGGCCCACCGAGACGCTCCGCCGAGGCCCACGCCTATGGAGAGCTCCAGAAATAGCCAAATAATTAAGTGAGGTACAATCTCTTGAGAGAATGTTGTTCAGCCATTCAAAATTGTAATCCCAGCCCCAAGGACCGCCCGAAGCGCCCGGCCCCGCGAGCGCGCCCCTCTCGCGGCGTCCTGCGCGCGCAGCTCTGGCCTGCTTTCCGCGGTCAGCGCCCGCTGCTTTCATGGTGTTAAAAAAACGAAACCGTATCCATCTTGAAAAGCTCCCTTTAGGAAGGGGTATTAATAAGGAAAATGCTCTGTGCGGCACAAAACAGATGACACCATCGCGCCCGGGCCCGAGCCCTGCTACGCGGGAACCGAGCGGGAGCGAGCCCGGCCGGGGGCTGCTGGCGCTCTGGGGACGCCCGTGCCCTCTACTTCTCCGGGCACTTCTATAAAGAGCGGGCATGTTAAGAGCATTCTTTTTACATGGAAAGAAACAAATGTTATTTAAAAGAAAAATAGCTAAGAGCCTCGCCTGCCTGTGAAGAGCCCGGCCTCCCCCAGCAAGGGGCGGCCCGTGGGGTCCCTGCAGTAGCAGGGGCTGCTTTCAGAAGCAGGAATCCCTGCTTCTCGGCCTTCGGGTCCCCCTTTGCCCACTGGGCACCTGCACTGGCCCTTAGCAAGTGTGGCACAGGCCCCCAGGCCCTCCAGGAAGCCGGCAGGCTGCGCCTCGGCCCGCTGGACTGCATCCTTCCGAGGCGCCTCCACAGCAGCACGGAAGTGGCCTGGGGTCGGTGACCACCGGGGTCTGCCATGGCTCTCAAAGGGCCCTGATCACAGAGACTTCTGGAGGGGTGGCAGCGTCCTCTACCTGCGCCGTCCCATTCCAGGGGCCACCGGCCTTGTGTGGCTATTGAGCCCTTGAGACGTGGCTCCTGGAGCCGAGGAACCGACCCTCGGCTTGACTTCATGTAGCAACAGCGCCATTGTGCCTACCGAGCTGGCCCCGGACGCTGTAGAAACGGGCACTGCCACAGGCAAGAGGGCATTCGAATGAAAGCACGGCCACCCAACGCAGGGACTAGGCACGGGGCAAGCACACCCGTTCAGGCCCTTCACACAGGCACCCCTGGGACCTGGACCACTGCTTCCACTTGCTGTGACTCTCACTTGGACCCAAGTCTCCAGAAACCTCTCGGGCTCCAAGCAGAGAGGGAGTCAGGAGAAATGCCAGCCTCTTCCTTCCACCCAGGCCCCTCCACTCTCGCCCTGGCCTTCTGGCCCAGCATTTGCCACCTACTCAGTCATGTGCCTTTGGCTTTGTCCCTTGCCCAAACCTGCGCGGCCGGGGCGCCCAGAGGGGTCCTCAGTGGGACAGCCAGCACCTTGCTGTCCCTGGGAAGTGTGGGCTCGGCTTCTGCTCTCCGCGCGGCTCTCCCAGGCCCACTTCCAGCACCTCCCACCCAACAGAAGGCGCTCAGGCAGGGGCGGGCTTTCCAGCCGGACACCACTTGGCCTGGCTCCTGGCATCTTACTCAGGGCGGGGACGAGAGGAGCAGTGAGGAGCTGGGGCCCCGCTAGAGAGGTGGCCTTCTGGGAAATGACAGGGGACGGGGAGGAGACATCTGAGCCTTCCGGGTCCTGTCTGCCATGCTCAGCAAAGGCACTGCCAGAGCCCAGCCTGGGCCCATGGCAGAGATGCACCTGTGGGGCTCCTGGGCCTCCTCCCTGCTTTCGGCTTCACGTCTGCCTTCACGTCTGCCTTGAGCACCACGGCGCAGGATTCCACTGCCAGCCTCCTCTGACCCCACGGCGCCCCTTCATGGCGCCTGGATGGGCCAGGCAGAGACTTACTGAAAAGCAAATCTGTCCTCTATTTGCTTCAGATCGATATAAATCCACGTTTGTCTGTTTCTCTCAGTGGGCAGAAGGGGGCATGGGTGGCTCAGCTGCTGAGCTGCAGGGTCTTCTCAGGGCCAGAAGTGCCCTCCATAAGTGGCTCTGGGGCACAACGCTTCTTCCTGCCAGGTTTGGCACAGACTTCTAGAGACAAAGGGACGTGGGCACAAGCACAGGCCTGATGCAGGAGCTGGGCAGCCTGTGTTCCAGTACTGGTTTTACCACCTGCTCGCTGTGTGACCTTGGGCAAGTTGTTGAACTTCTCTGGGCCTCAATTTCCTCATTTGCACTTTGGGGATAATAACAGCCCTTGCCTCATTTGGTTATTGTTCAAGGAAGTGAGGGAATGTCTGTGAACTACTTAGAACAGTGACTGGCACAAGACAAGTGCTATCACTGTCATCATAGTCATGACTGACATGATTTCCTGCGCTAGTAATTTCCGATAGAGACTGCAGGCATTGGCTAAAGATCCAAGCATCAGTTTAGTCGGAAGGGAGTCCAGTGGGCACAGCCCACATATGTGCTGACTTCAAGAGTCCCAGCTGGAGCTCAGCTCTCAGAAGCTGCAGGGGTACAGGGTGCTCAAATCTTGTCCACAGGAATGCCAGGGGTACCTCTCTAAAAAGCACACAGGGCTGGGGGTGGGGGCCCAACTGACCCTGGCATCATCTGCGGCCGCCCTGGGCTGGGAGGAGATGTTCTGGGATGGTGAGCGCTTCCTGACTCATGCCTGGCCTCTTCCGGATCTCTGGCTTGCAAATGATTCAACCTCCAAAGCTCCAGCTCGCACCCTGAAATGGCAGGGGCGTCTGCGGAGCCCACTCCACCCTTCTGGGCCTGGAGCAGGGAGGGACTTGGCCAAGGTCAGGGAGACCATCAGGCTGCACCCAACTCAGGGGCTTTCGTTGCTCTAGGCCAAGATGCCCTCTCTGTCCCTCCCTGACACCCTCTTGTCGCTCTCTCTGCAGCGTGCTCTCAGCCCAGGGCTTCCTTCCCCACAGGGCTGGCGTTCCTCCTGGCTCTGTGCAAAGCCCCTTCCCACGCTCCCCTCTTCCATCTGCCCCCCACTTCTGTGCCAGATCACCTGCCTCTTTGCTCGAACCACCTGGAAGTGCTGGGCACAGACCAGGTCGGTCTGATCAAGATGAGCTGTGTCCCTCGCCCTCACCTCCTCCAGGCCAGCAGCCTGGACAACCACTGCCTAATGCCCTGGGGCTATCACCAGTCTGCCTCTTCTGTCTGGGTCACTCCCTAGGGACTGGCTCCCGCCTCAGCACCCCTTGCCAGGCCGAGGCCCCGGGGAACCCGTCAGTCCCCTGTGCGGGCCATTTCAAACACAGGTTCCTACTGCCCGCATCTCCACCTAGCTCCCCTTCATAAGCCACCCGGCCTTGGCTTCCTCGGCTGTGAAAGGGAGGATGGAAAGCGTGCTGTGAACATGGTGTAGACCCTGGGACTCAGAAGGGGTCCAGGAAACTTCTGAAAACTGCACCCACACGTGGGTGGCACTTTGCCCCTGCCAGGCCCATGGGGCGTCCAGCCCTTCCCCTATCCAGTCAGTGCAGGGCCAAGTCCCCCCCTCGGGGCCTCAATGACTCCAGCGGAACAGTGGGGGCAAAACCCAGGCCTGGCTTCCCTCATCAGGTGATTCTGCAGATTCAGGGAGGTCAAGGTCGTGAATGTGCCACAGGGAGACCTGTGCCCACTCTGAGCCAGGCTTGTGCCAGGTGTGGAGCAGCCAGTGCAGCCTGAGAGCAGCTGCCCGCCTCAAGATGCACACAGACCTGTGGGGTGATGGTGGGCTGAGGGCACAGAGCTGCAGGGCAAATAAGACGGGTGCCCCCCACACTGGCACCCAAGTCCTTGTAGGAGCAGGAGAGACTGTGATGACTGAGGTCAGACTAGACTTACCTCTGTGGCCAGCAGGGAACAGCTTTAGGTCATATGCCTGGTGGCCTCATCTTTGAAATCCCGAATGACCCCATTCCCCCAGCCCAGCCTGGCAAATGTCCAGCCTCTGGGTAAAGGAGGCTGGCCCTCTTGCCCCTCTTGGGAGTGAGTGCCAACCCAGGCTGCTCCCAAGCCCTCAGCGGCCCTCATCAGGCTTTCCAGTCCTGCCTGCCACTATTCGTGGGCTGGCCAGCCCCTGACCCCACAGAGGCCTGCAGCCAGGTCTTAGGGGGAGAACAGGACTGCCCAGGGGCACCAGGGATCCTTCCTTTGGGAGAGGCAGCAGCAGCCACCCCAAATTCCAGAATCCTAAACCAATGAGAAAACTAAGGCCCATGGCAGAAGCCATCTGGCCAAGGTCACACAGGTGAGGGGGAGGACAGCTGTTCATGGAGGGATGGAGGGTTAGTCCAGGGTGGCGGGCTGTGTGCTGCGGGCACTGCCCAGGCCAGGGCGGGGTGGGGGGGGTGGGGGTTGGGGGGGTGGCTGGTCGGCGGTGTGGGTGTGCGGGGGGGGGGGCAGCGTGGGAACTGTGGGAGGGTTTCTTAGACCGTGTGTGTGTGGGGAGGGGGGGTTGGCACCGGGTGAGGGCGCAGGGGCTGTCCCAGGCTCCTGGAAGGTGCTTGCGCACAGCCCGGTGTCCCCCGCCGTGCCTGACCGCCTGCAGCCCCCGCGGCCTTTTCCCCCAGAGGCCCGTGCGCGTGCGCGCGGGATGCAGGGCTCGGGGTGCGCGTTGTGGGGGGCTACGCGCCCGCCGCGCCCGCCCGGGGCCCCCGGGGTGACGCGCGGCAGCGGCGCCGCAAGGACACGCAGGCCCTGTGCGGGGAGCAGGTGCCGCGGGCAGGGACCCAAGTCCCCCCACCTGCCGCCCGCGCCACCTGCCGGGCCGCCCGCCCCGCCCGCCCCCGTCCGCGCCAGCGCCCACCTCTGGGGCGCCCGCGCGCCCCGGACACCACTTACCCGGTCATGGGCACGGCCGCCGCGGCGGCCTGGGCTCTGGCTAGCGCTGTGGCTGCGGGCGGGCGAGCGCCTGGCGGGCAGCGATCCGCTCCCAAGGACGGAAAGGCCCGGGCACAGGGCGGCTTGGCCGACAGCGCGGGGCGCGACCCTCCCGGCGGCGGACCAGGCTGCGGCGGCTGCTCCCCACGCTCCGCTCCGCACCGGCACTGGCAGGCGACGCAAAGCGCTGGGCTCCAGCCGCAGCTCTGAGCACGGAGGGAGGGACGAGGCAGGGGGAGGAGGGAGGGAGCTGGGGGGGAGGAGGGAGGAGGCAGCGGCACGGGGGCCACGGGACTCGGAGCCACGCGCTGGTGTGTGCCCTTCTGCCCCGGACACTCGGGGGTGCCCACCTTCCCTGGTCTGCCAGTGCTCCAGAAAGGAACTGGCCAAGGGCGGCGAGAGCAACTGAAACTGGGAGCGCAGAGAATAAGCACCAATGCCTCCGAGGTGCCAGGCTGCTGCTCCTCAGACCCCTGCCACGGGTCAGTCTCCCCAGCAGTCAAACGGGGTATGAGGCTGGCAGCTGATGAGTAGCCAGGGCCCCCACCCCGGCGGGCTCCCAGGGGTGGACCTATGGAAGCCTGATAGCTGTCGGGAGTCGGGCCTGTAAGAACACTTTCCAGGTGCTCAAGGTCGCTGACCCCAAACTTTATCACTCACACCCCGTGGCGCAGGACACGCAAGAGACTGCACACCCTAAGGGAGACCAGCCCTTCTCAGCGAAGGCGGGACTGTGCCCACAGAGGGGCATACCGGCAGACCCACGTGTGTGCAGTGTGTGCATGCCCAACCACGCTCATGTGCTCACACACACCCGCCCATGCAGACATGCTGACACACTCCCATGCTCATGTACCCTCACACTCACACCCCAATGCAGGCAGCACCTGCAATCCAGGTGCACATGGGCGTGTCTGAGAAGAGGCCGGAGCAAATGTGTGCCCAGGCATCAGCTGGCCCGTCTGCACTGCTGGCCTTGGGAGCCCGAAGCTTCCCAGCTCCAGGGACAGTGGGCGCTCCCAACCTAGATCAGGCCTTTGCACCATCTGTGAGCAGCGAGCAGAAGTGTGAGGGGGTGGGGTGCGCAGGAGAGGCCGCCTGGAGGAAAGAAATGCCAGGTCCCCAGCCAGCCAGGTCCCCTGAGCCAGGAAGGTGGCTGCGAGAGAGGCCTGGACATGGCCCGAGGTCCAGCTCACGTGCATGCCAGGCCTGCTGTGTGGTGGCTGCAGGGACCGCAGAGCAGGGAGTTAGCAGGAGGGGAGCGAATGTGGCTCCATGGGTGTGGTCAAGGCCCACATAGCGTGGTGCTGGGGCTCCCAAAGGCCCTCTGAGGGGTGCCATGGTGACAGGCCTGCAGGCTACAGCGGTGCCCAGCTTCTCTGTGCTGCCCTGAGACACGCCCCCACAGAGGGATGTACCTGCTGACACATGCGTGCGTGCTTAACCACACGCACATGCTCATGCACCCATGTAGACATGCACACGCACATGCTCATGCATGCTTAATTACACACTCACACAGCTCTCTTACACACCACACCTCACACACGCTCACTCAGTATGCTGACACACAACAGCCATGTGTGTTCGGTTACTCAGTCCACATGCATAATCGATGTTCCTCCCTGACTCTCTCACTCACACACTTGGACACCCAGCCACACAGCACCCGGCCATTCCCAGCTGGCCATGCTTTTGCCCTCAGTCATGCCCCTGGCTGCCCTATGCCACAGAGATGCATGCTTCAGACCGCACAAGCCTGCTCACACGCATGCCTGCTGCCCCCCACACCTGCCCCTTCCTCACCCACCCCTGCTGCCCTTCTGGGTGTCAGCCCTGGGAAAGTGAGCTGGTGCTGATGGCCAGCACGCTGGCCCCTCAACCACAAGGCCACCCTGGGGCCAGCCTGCCTCGTGCCTAGAGCCCAGCCAGAACAGGAGCGGGAAGCCCAGTGGCGTGCCTTGGAGCCTCCTGTCACCACATAAGACCCTGCCACCTCGGAGCTGCTCTTGTCACGGCCACACGCTCGAAGGGCCACCAGACCCCCACTGGAGTAAGTGGCCAAGCTGGGCTTTCAGCCCACGCACCCATCTGATGGAAGAACAGCTCAGAGCTGTGGGATGCCCATCGGCACCTCTCCCCACACACAGCGGCCTTCTGTCTCGGTTTCCGAGGGTGGCAGGCTCCCTGGGATCTAGCTCAGTGGTGTGTTCTTCCACCCCAGACCGAGGCCCAGGCTCCAGAGCCAGAGGAGGCCGGGGGAGGCTGCTCTCCAGTCTCCCGTGGTGGCAGCAGGCGCACTCCTTGGCAGGGCTGCCACCTGGTCGCTATCTCCGTCTCAGTTACCTGTCAGCCTCTCCACAGACAGGTGCTTGGGAGGCCGGAGTGGGCCAGCTCGGGCAGAAGTTGGATGTGCCACACACCCTTGTGATGAGGCCCCAGGCCCAGGTTAGCCGGGAGAGGAGCAAGGTGTGTGGTTTGCAGGAAGGCTGGAGGGACTGGGCCCAGCCCTTCCAGTGCCGTGGAAGTCCCCCATCCCCAGCAAACTCGGTCCAGCAGCTGATGGGCAGAGAGGGGATGACCCCTTCGTGGGGTTTGATACAGTTGGCCCTCAGCCAGGGCTCCTGGCACTGACAGGAAGGGCCCAGGCCCTGGAGTGAGGAAGCCAACTGCCAGTGTCAGGGTGGCCCTTGCTCACCTGAGGGTGCTGAAGGGGGAGATCTTTGCTAGAAAGTTCTTCTTTATGCCAAGTCCTGTCTTCTGCTTGGGGGAAAGCCTGAGAGAGAACTCCCTGCCACTCTGCACCCCGCTCCCCACCTCCTGTCCCCTCCTCCCCGCTGTGGCTGTGCTCCCTCTGGCCTCCTAAGGAGCCCCTGACGCCCACATTGGCTTTGGCTTCCTGCCCGCTGTCCCCACCCAGGCAACCCCCAGAGGTACTCTCAAGCCAAAGAAATCCAGCTGGCCCCAGAGGCCCACCCGCACCCCAGCGCCACGGGCACCTGCAGAAGGCCCTCACTGTCACTTCCTGTTGACTGCCTCCTGGAGCCCTCGGCAGCCTCACCCTGCTCCCCCACTCCCTCAGCTGCTTCTGCCCCAGGTCCTTGCCACCGGGGTCCCGCCCCCTCTGCTTTCCCTCGGGCCCGGCTGTGGCTGGCCCAGCCTCCTCTGGGGACAACAATCCTCAGCCCGACCGGCCTTGAGTCAGAAGAACCTCTGGCTGCACTCTGGGCCCCTCTCTTCACGTGACCATGCTTTCCCTGGCTGAGATCTCAGACCTCGCCCCCCAAGGCCTGGGGCGGTGGGGGTGGGGGGCGGTCTGGCCAGCCGCAGTCTGTGGCATGTGCCCTGATAAGCGTGTGTCCTCATCCCCGCAGACAGACCAGGGCTTATTCGGAGAGGCTTTGTAGAGGTGATGAAGTTAAGAATCTTGAGATGGGAGGTCCCCCAAGATTACCCCGGAAGGACAACAAGGGATATTGACAAGTGTCCTCAGAGGAGAGAGGGGCTGAGGGGATCATGCCATACCAGACAGGCCAGGAGGCTCTGGCATAGAGGAGGCAGAGATGGAGGTGACAAGTCCACCAGCCAAGGAACTCCTGGGGGCCCCCCAGAAGCTGGAGAGGGCAAGGGAGCCACCCCAGACTTTTTGGAGGGAGTGAGGCCCCACAGACACCAGGATTTCAGACTTGTGGCCTCCTGAACTAACCCGGGAGAGACTCAGAGCCCCTGGAAGCTCTGGCTTCCCTAGAGTCAGGCCCTACACACCCCTCCCCTCCAGCTCCCAGGGGCTCAGTACATTCCCCCTGGAGGTTCTGGAAAGCCAGCATCCTCTGCACACTTGGGGTTGGCTGTGGCCCTCAGAGTGGCACTCCTGCCAGCCCACCGGCCTGCAGGCCAGCTCAGCTCCTGGGCACCCTGCCCCTGCCCTGGCAGCCTGGGAGCCCTGTCCAGAGCAGAGGCAACTTGGCTTCTTGCAGCCCCTGCCTGCCCCTGGCCCCCACTGGAGCCTGGCCCGCAGGGGTGGAGCCTGGAGGCCACAGGCAATAGAGTAAGGCTGAGCCACTGGAGCCGTTTGAAGAGGGGCTGTGCCTCTGATGCCCTGCTCCCCACCCCTGCCATGCCATTGGCAGCCTGGCTGGCTGCCCCTCCAGCAAGCCCCAACTTGTCTAAACCGGAGCGGTGGATTTGGCTTAGGCTCCAGCTGGGCCCGCCACCTCCAGAAGGCACCTGACCTGCCACAAGTACTCGGAAATGTCCCCCACCCCAGGCCCGTGTCGCTCCAGGGCTGCTCCTTGGCTGCGGCTCCTTCAGGGGACTCTCGTGTATGTGAAAGTTACAGGGGCGCGGGAAGCTGGCAGGGTTAACCTTGAGGTGACCATGGTTTTTTTTTTTAAAGTTCCATCTTTCTCAATTTTTGTGTCATCATCATCATCAGATGGTTTGCAACACATTTGTGAGTGGGGGGCGATTTGCCTTTGATCTGCTGTTCCGGGACGGGAGATTGGCCTCCGTCAGCCCTTTGCTCATCTCCCCAGGGCTCTGCAGGCCCCCTCACAGCGTCCAGTCTGGGCAGGACACCGTCCCCTACACTGTGAGCCCTGCGGGGCCGTCCCTGGGGCCCAGCCAGAGGCTCCTCTGCACCTCCTGGCTTCCGCCCAGCCAGGGGACTTGACGAAGGCCCTGGCTCCTGCCCCGGCCAGCACAGCTCCACAGAGACGCTGGGCTGTGGAGCACTCGGCTCAGAATAGCGCTGTGGTGCCGGCGGCGACCTTCTGCCAGTGGCCGCCGCGCTGAGCGGGGCCTCCCAGCCCCAAAAGAGAAAGCCAAGAGCACCAGCTGCCCTGGTGCCGGGCACAAGGGCATGGAGCTGGCGTATTCAGAACTAGCGCGTGGCGTCTCTGGGCTTCTGCCCTCCTGGGCTGGTGCTCCCGGAGGGCCCCGCCTGCTCTACTGTCTTGGGCGGCCGGTGAAGTCCAGGGTCCCGACACCTGAGGCAGCGGCCCCTCCCATGGGGCTCTGGCCCGCCGCTGCCTCAGCTCTCTGGGCTTGTGTCTGAGGGGCACCTTTCCGGGGCAGGCCTGTGTCCTCAGGCTAGCGCCTGGGTCCTGTGCCGGGAGCGACGCCACACACTGCCCCCAGGCCCGCGCTCCTGGTGCACAGGGCGACCTCCTGGATGGGGGTCTGCGGGGACCCTGCCGGCCCAGCCCTGGCTGCGCGCCCTCTGGTGCTCACACAACCTGGACGCCTCTGCCCTATGATTTCCAGGCTCCCGGCACAGGGTGGGGCCGAGCCTGGTGCTCTGCAGTGGCAGGTGCTTGGTGAGCGCTGCTCTCTAGAAGCAGACGCTCCCTTGGGCCCAGTCTACAGAAGGGCCTGGAAAGGAGGGGCACTGACCCGGGCGCAATGTGCACCCTGAGGCTGGGCAAGTGGCGAAGAGGAAGCTTAGAGCCAGCGGGCGTGGAGAGGCAGAGCCCGGGCTCCCCTTTCTGCTCGGGGCCCCAGGGCCAGCCCAACACCGACGCACACACAGCTGCATGCACAGCGCTTCTTTAATTGAAGGACAGCAACAGCCTCAGAAGCAGCTCCCCCGTTGAAGGGTCACTGCTTGATCCCTGCCTGGGCCCCGAGCTCAGGGGAGGAGGACCTAGTCATGGGGGCCGAGGAGGGCCGAGAGAAGCCCTGCTGGGAGTTCAGGGGGTGCTGCGCCTCTCCCGGGGGCGGCCTCGCAGGGTCGGGTGTGTGGCACAGAAGGTGGCGAGCGGGTGCAGGTCCTGGCCCCCTGAGGCTGTGCCACTCCTCCAGGACCCTCCGGGTTTGGGGCCAAGGTCTGGGCAACTGCCTCCCCCTGGCTTGTCTGGGCAGGGGCTGCACAGAGGCCAGGCTGAGGGTTAGGACGTGGGAGGGGAGAGGGAGGACCAGAGCAAGGGGCGGGAGAGGGCTGGCCCGTTTCTGTGCAGCCAGGTGGCTTGCGTGGCGGGGCCATGAACCTGCAGGAGGGCGGGAGGCGCACGGGAGGCCAAGGGTAGCAAGTCGAGCCAAGGAGGGTGGGAGGCTGGCAGGACATGACAGAGTGCTGGGGTGGGGGGGCTGCTGTCTCCGTCCGTCCCAGCCCCTCCTGCTCCCCAGACTCATGGACCATGCTCCTCACGCTGGGGCCTGGGACAATTTGGTTTTGGGGTGAATGGGAAGAAAGGTTTGAGGGGCTGCCTCTGAGTGGCCACGATGAGTGGGCTGGGGCAGCTCCGCGAGGGGCCTGACACCCACCTGCACACTTGGGAGCCAGGGAGAGCGTGTCACAGGGCAGTGAGTAGGGGTCGGGGAGCGAGGCTGGGGCTGGGCTGGGTGTGGCTCGACTTGGGGCTCCACTCCCACTTGGTCCCCCAGAGGCCCCACCTGGGTGGCCAGGCTGCCTCTGCCACCTCTACTTCTTGTAGTTGCCGAACTGGATGGCTAGGCGGTCGGTGACGCAGCGGAAGGTGGCTGGCTGCACCTCCCAGTAGGGGACGGGGTTGTTGAAGAGGCTGATGCCATTGTAGTAGGCCCGCTTCACCCCAAAGCCCACGGGGCAGAAGTCGTTGACGCCCACCTTGGTGATGTTGTTGCTGTGTAGATACACCACCTGGGGGCAGCAGGAGTGCCCAGGCTCAACTCCGAGAGCCCGGCTGGCCCTCACCAGCCTCCCCAGCCCGTTCGGGTGTGGGTGGGCCAAATGGAGGCAGAGCCCGAAGGGGCGGGCTCCCACCCTTTCTGAGTCCTGCCCTGCCTCGCGGAGCCGCCTCACCCCCGGCACGCGCATGGCCCTTGGGGGCTCGACGCGGTTCTCCCACGGTGGATACTTGGCTATGGCTGTTGCGCAGGAGTTGGGCGTGATTAAGGCGCTGGTGTGTGACCAGGAACCCGGATGAAGGGTTTAGGCAGGGTGGGGGGAAGGGGCTTGTGGCAACTGCAGCTAGGGGAGCAACCTCTCATCCAGAGACCCAGGGCGCAAGGGGGCCAAGCCTGCCAGGTTCCCAGCTCTTTCTCTCGGTTCTCAGGGGCACTTGCTGCCTAGTATTCCCCCAACTTCCTGAAAACCCTCTCTTCCAGGGGATGAGCTAAGGGGACAGGCAGAGCGCAGGGGCGGGTAGGGTGGGAACCCAGAGCTCAAGGAGAGGTGTGCAGACTGCCGCAGCGCCCTCTAGAGGCGGAGAGGACACTGGCCACTAGAGGGTGCACTCAGCCCAGCCCCCGCGCCCCTCCATTCAGGGCCCAGCTGGGTGGGTGGCTCTGGCTGACAGCCAGGAGGAAGAGACTGAGGCCCAGAGCCTGGCCAGGGAAGGCCAATTTCACCCGTATGACTGGACAGCAAGCCAGGGACAGGGTCCTCTGACACAACCCCGGGCAAACCCGGGCCCACTGGCCCAATCCCAGGAACCTACCTCCTGCCTTGGGCTGTCTCAGTCTTGCTACAGATCTGTGCGCCCCCTGTCCTGACTGTCTCCTCACCCCCCAGGCCTTTCTGCTGTCTGCCCACCTCTGCAGGCCCTCCCCACTTGTCCTCTGCCCTCCTCACTGCCCACCCAGCAGGGCCTGCTCCCTCCTCTTCCTCAGCACCGAGGAGGGCTCCAGGCGATGGGCTTCTTCGCAAATGAGGACACGTGGTCCCAGCCACTCTGTACCTGGGCCCACGCCAGGCAGGAGCACAGGCTGCTGTCCTGCCCCAGTCCCGGCCTGGGGCTGCGTCTCTCACCTGCAGGAGCTTGAGGTCCGGAAGGCCGGCAGGCACCCTGGACAGTTTGTTGTTGTCCAGATGCAGCTCCCGCAGCGTGGGCAAGAAGCTCAGGCTCCCATTCTCGATCATGCGGATCTGGTTGTGGCCCAGGCCCAGCCTGTGTAGGGACAGGGAGAGGGAGTGAGAGGCCCCAGGAGAAAAGCCGGGGGGTGGGGCCCGCACCCCAGTCCCGCACACCTGGAAAGCCTGGAGTAGCGGAGCAGGTCCTCCAGCTCGATGGCCTGGATCTTGTTGTGGTCCAGATGCAGCTCGTTCAGCGTCTCCGGGAGGTCTGCGCAGAGAGGGCCCGGGCTGAGAGCAGCAGGTGGTGGGCTGGGGGCTGCCGAAGCCCTCCCTGAGAGGACAGGCGGGTGCAGCTGGCTCCTGCCCCTCCAGCACTGCCCACCTGGGCCTGCACTGGCAGGAAGTCTGCTTCCCTACCTTTGGGGATGCCGGTGAGCTTGGCCTCTGAGATGCGCAGGTAGTTGAGCTTCAGGCCATCAAAGGCTCCAGGCTCAAAGCCGCTGTTCTCCAGGGGATTCCCGCCCATCTCTAGGAGAGAGGCCCCTCAGTTCAGAGCCAGCGGGGGTGGCTCCCCACACACCTGTCAGGCTCCTGGCTGGGGCTCTCTGGCAGCCCTGCCAAGGTCCACTCCCCCTCCACCTCCTGAAAACGTGGTCATTGATGGGCTAACTGCAAACTCCTAGCTGCTTGAGACTATTAGGCCCCAAGGGCACAGGCCCTGGCATGGGCTGAGGGGAGCAGGAGGAAAGGGAGGGAGCCAGAGAGAGCAAGGTGGGACTGCTCCCGGCCAGCTGCCTGGCCGCTCTACGGCCTGGAGTGTGTGTCCATCGTGAGGGCGGCTGGCGAAAGGCAATTTTCTTCTAACTTTTTCCACAGGACCCTTGAACTGACCCTTTAATGCCCCTGTCCAGTTTCTCAGCTAAGCGCTCTGGGGCATGCCCTTAGAGAATCTCCAGAGTGTTCTGCGAGGCCCACCGGCCTCCTTCCAGCCGCTTGCCCGCGGCGGCCCTCTCGGGCGCACTCACCGATGCAGTTCATGTTGCGCAGGCCGCTGAACACGCCCTTGGGCACCTTGCGGATGCGGTTGTCGTGGATGCGCAGCTCCACCAGGGAGCTGGGCAGGTTGGGCGGGATCTCCACCAGGTGGTTCTTGGAGATGTACAGCTTCTGCAGCTTCCGCAGGGGGCTGAAGGCCTTCTCGTGGACCCTGGAGATCTTGTTGTTCACCAGGACCAGTGCCTGCGGCGGAGCGGGCACCGGCGTGAAGGGCGCCATCGTGAAGAGCCCACTCCCGCCGCCCGTCCCGCCCCTGCCCAGCGCTCGTCCCCCCAGCCAGCAACTCCCTAGTGGGCCAAGCAGGGCGCCAGCACTTGCCCTGTGCCTGGCCCAGCCTGCCCCTGCTGCGTGCCTCAGTTTCCCCACTGGCACCCTGTGTGGCTGCAAGGACCCGATGAGGTGAAGCCTGGGCCACAAAGCGAAGTTGCACGTCCACCAACCTGCTCCCGCCGCCTCCCACCGTGTGCCCCGCCGCACACCCATCTGGATCCAGACCCCAGGGCAGACCTCCTGCCCAAGGCGCTGGCAGCCTTACATAGAGGCTATGGAGGCCTTTGAAGTCCTCCCGGCGGAGCTCCGAGATGTCGTTGTTCTGCAGGTCCAGCAGCGTGGTGTCAGGCGAGATCTCCCTGGGCACAGCCTTCAGACCTGGGGGCAGCGCCACCATCACCGGGGTGGGCCCGGGCCCCGGCGGCCAGGGCTCCCCCACGGAGGCGCAGAAGCTCCAGGGCTTGCGGAGGGAGGCTTTTCTGGAACCCCATTCCCGGGCAAGCCAACCGCCGCCTGGCTGGGGGGATGTTCTCCCTGCCCTCTCCCTGCCCTCACCCTGCCATGCCCACCCCCAAGGCGGATGCCTCCCTGCACGCGAGCCCACCCTGGCCCAGCACTGACCCAAGTCAGAGCACTGAACCACCCGCAGGTGGCAGTGGCAGCCGAAGGGACACACGGCACTGAAGGTGGGCGTGAATGAGTCCAGGTCCGGGGCGCCCGAGGTCGTGCCGGCTCCGGAAGCCTCCTCGTCGTTCATCATGGGCAGCCCGTCATCCAGGGAGAAGTCCCAGAAGCCCTTCTGCTCAAAGGGCAGCGCCTGGCTCAGGGCCAGCAGGGACGCGAGGCACCACAGGGGCCACATGGTGGTGTGTCTGGGAGACCAGGGCAGGGGGTGATGTCAGGGGTGCCCGCTGGCTCCCCCCCCCCTCAGCAGCGCTGGGGACCCGCATGTTGGCAGCACGCTGTCTCCCATCCTCAGCCAGACCCGGGACAGCAGGACAGGAGCGACAGAGGGAGAGGGTGTGGGCACACAGGATGGGGGTGCTGGTCCTCCTCTACCCGGGCAACACGTGGCTTCCGGGGCGGGGGGATGCAGTGTTTTCTCAGTTAACAAGTCCACGCATGCATGCACACTCGCGCCACGCCACACGCACGCTCGCTGAGTCAGCTGGAGGCCTGCGGGGGTCAGTGAGAGACGGGAGGCGGCCGGCAGGGAAGCCAAGTGTTTGCCCCTCACAGGCTTTGGAGAACTCAGGCTGAAGCTACCACCGCGGCGTGTGGGCGAGCGGCACTGCTCAGGGCCTCGTGGGCTCCCCGTTCCAAGACCCGGTGCCGCTTCCTTCCCGCCTGGAAGGGAAGGCGCACGCCGCTGGCGGTGCACCACGTTTCTCTGAGAAAGTGGAGAGGCCGTGGCACAGGGCCAGGCCAGCAAAACAGGGAAACAGAGGGCTGGCCCCTGGAGGTGCAGGGCTGACGGCCCCCACTGCCCTGCACCTCCACCCCGCCACCCCGCCCAGAGCCCAGCCCCCTGGAGCGGCCCCCAAGGGGAGAGGCGGCTGCCAGGGTGGTGGGGCAAGGTCAGACTTGTCTGGAGGCCCCCCAGGCTGGGCAGCGGAGTTGGGGGAGGGGACATTGCCCTGCCCGAGCCTGCCCTGCTCCCACATCTGCTGACTGCCGTCCTCCGTCCTGCGGAGGCTGGAGGCTCCGCTGCAGAAAGTGCTAAGCAGGGAAGGCCAGGGCCATGGTCCCCACGCCGTCTCCCCGCTCTCCCTGGGAGGCCGCGGCGTGTTCTCATCTGTTAAGCAGGAGCAACCGCTCCTGCCCTGCTCCTAGGCTCAGGCGGCCGTGGTGGCCCTGGGCACAGCTGTGGCGGGGAGCCAGGGGGGAGCCAGGGGGCCCACCCAGGGAGGCCCTCACTTGGGGCCTACCTTGGCCGGCGAGGGGCTGCATGGGGCTTCAGAGGAGTAGGGTGAACCCCAGCCTGATGACTGCTGCGATGGCAGGGGCCCTGCAGCAGCACCCGAGCAGCAGCGTACCCTGGCTGCTGCTTTGTGACCTGCAGCGCCGGGCAGGGGGGCGGTGCGGGGTGGGGGCGGCAAGACCACCTCCAAGCCTGGACATAATCACCCATACCTAGGGTTCCCATGGGCCCCTGAGTGTCCCCCCATCCACACCCCTCAGTCCTACCCTGACCGGGCTGCTCACCACCCACCCTCGGGTCCCATCATCCCCAGGGGCAGAGCTGGGGCATGTTGGGCAGGGACAGGGCATGGGCTCAGCTTTGGAGACAGCCCTAGAGTGGCCCCAGCAGGCCCCGAGAGTCCTCCCGAGTCCATGGCCCTTAGGGACAGGCCTGGAGAGGCTGTCTGCCTGTCTCAGTTCAGAAAATGAGCCGCACCGCCCCGCGACAGGCGCGTCCTGGGGCTGTTTCTGCAGACACTGCAGACACAGAGAACTGGACTTCATGCTGAGCCCCAGGTCATGGGGCGTCTCCGAGTTGAGGTTCACCCAGCCTCCCCGGTTGGCTCAAGCCTCAAAATGCACGACCACACCCCAGGTCCCATCAACCCCAGGCTGGACCCCAAAAGGCCTGGATGTAGTGTAGGGGGCAGCCCCGCGGTGGCCTACCTGGGCAGCCTCTCCCTCCTTTCCCCGGGTATGCCAGGCCCGCCAGCTCTGCCTCTGGACCAAGGGAGGAGGAGGAGCCGCGGGAGAAAGGAGGAAGGGGAGGGTGAAGGCGGGAGAGCAAGATGGATTGGGAGAGGGAGGAGACTGCTGCCTCCCCCTGCCCTGCACCCCTGCCAGAGCGCTGCCCCTGGGGATGAGTCAGGGCTGGGAGGCTCTGCTGCCGCCAGGCCCCCTGGCCAGGTTGGGGGGGGCAGCTGTGGGGAGAGGCTGAGCAGACAGGCCCCCTTCCAGCCTGCCTGAGGGTTGGCAGGGCTGGAGGTGCCCCCAGGAAGCCTCTGCCCCGGCATGGGGAGGGGGAGGGGCAGGCTCTTCGAAGGCCACCAGGGGCAGGACAGGCCGCTCAGACCCCAGGCCGCTCAGACTCGTGGGACGAGCCCATGCACTGGAGGGGGGTAAGCCAGCTGGGGGCAGCCCCCCCGGTGTTGCAGCGCCTGCCAAGGGGCTGGGGGAAGGGTGTGGAGAGGGGCCAGTCCCTGCACAGGTCCCGGCTGGCGCGCAACCCTCCCACTGAGGCCCGTGGCAGCGGCAGGACAAGGTCCGCCTGTCTCTCCCGCTCCGGAGTGGGCCCGGGCAGTGCCAGGCTGTCAAGGCGGTTGCCACAGGCCTTAGGCACAGGTCTGTCCCTTGAGGAAACTGGTTGGGCACTCCACTCAAGTCAGCATTTTCTGGGGGGAGGGGAGAGAGCTCCCCGCAGAGCCAGGAGGAGCCTCGGGAGGGCCGGGACAGGAGAAAGGCCCCCTGGGCCCCCACACAGTTCTTAGTCCCATTTTATGGAAGTGAAAGCCAAGGGCTCAGCCTGAGACGTGGAGCCCCAGTCCCGGGGGTGGGGAGGGGCAGGTCGGGGGAAAGGGTTGGGGGGCTGAGAATGCTGAGGTGGGTGGTGGTGACCCAAGAGGGGGCTGGAGGGCTATATATAGGTCTAGGCACCCCCCAGCCTAAACCTGCCCCCCCACAGAAGCAGGCAGGGCTGTGGCCTGGGACTCAGGCATCCACCACTGCCAGTCCCTCCCTGCCAGGACCTCTGGGCCTGTTTTCTGCCATCAGCCTCTGAGGGTGGGTCCCCAAGGACTTCAGGGAGGGCCTCAAGCCTCATCAAAGGGTGCCATGTGCTTTTTGGACCCCCTTCTGGAGCCAAGGGAAGAAGTGAGGTGTGAGGAGGAAGAGGCCGGGCTTCCTGGCGCCTGCGCCCCAATAGCACATTCCTTGTCTGCTTCTGGGAGCGGCACAGTCCCCAGTGGAGGGCTCCAGATTGCGGCCAAACAAGATGCCTGGCAGCCTCCGAGAACATGGAGGGGCCGTGCCAGGCATTCAGGCCAGGCCAAGGGCGGTGGGGAGCAAGGTCTGAGGTCTGGCAGGCCCTGGGAGGGTGCCCACAGATGTGCGCCCCGCAGCTGCCAAGTGGCAGGCGCTGAGTGCTGTCCTGTGGCCTCAGGCTGCAGAGCGCAGCTGGAGCCACCCAACCTGATTTGACCCTTCGCCACCTCCCAGCCAGTGCTGCTGGGGTCCTGGCACTGCAGGATGCCCCCTCTGTTCACCAAAGCCCGCTGGGCCCAGCTTCACCCAGCAAACCAGAGCGGGGGCAGGGAGGGGGCAGGGGTTGCTGCCCAGAGCTCTGCCCGCCAGGTGGGTAAGTGCCCAGGCCCAGCCGCTGCTGCTGCTCCTGCCAGGCCTAGCCTACGCTGGCCAGTCAAGTGGCGAGAGGGACTTGGGCCACCCAGGGGTCTGCCGAAGTCCGAGTCTGGGGTAACACTGTGGGGGCTGGTCATGGCTGTCTGCATGCACCCCAGTCCCCGCTGCGCCCACCGCCATTGCTTCAGCAGACCAGCCAGGCCACAAGGGGAGCAGATGGCAAGGTGTGGCCAGGGAACCTGCCGGTCGCTGCGGCCCTCGTGCAGGTGGGGTGAGGCCTGGAGCTGGGGTGGACTGAACGCAGGCCCGGGGCACTGCAGAGAACCAGCCCGTGGGCTGTCAAGGTCTGGCACTGGAGCAGGGCTGAGGTGCTGGGTGCTGTCCAGGCCAGATCGCTCTTCTCATGGCTGCGAAGTACAGCCATCCACCCCACCCCCACCCCGCCCAGAAGCAGCAGGTAGCAGGGTCCAACTGCTGGCCTCCCGCCATGCAGGGGTCAGGCCGCCTATGACTCAGGTCACCGGGGGTCCTGGTTTCCTTTTTGTCCTCCCTCACCCTCCCGCATGCTACAGGAACCCTGAGCTCTTACTTGTCATGTTCTCTTGAGGAAGGGAAAGATCTACCGCCTAGTGGCAGGGCAGGGGACTCGGGGGATTCCTTGATGCAGTCCCCGCCTGCCCCCTCGAACCACAACCATCAGAAGGAAGCACCACCTGAAGCACTTGATGAATGGGGAAACTGAGGCCACTCAGCTGGGAAAGGGAGGGCCGGGACTCCATTGTCTGCTGTCTACTTGCCCCAGGGTCCGCCCCCCACCCCGCCCCCCCAGACAATGCCATGGGCTCTGACGTGAAAGGGCCCCAGACTCCTGGGGCTGCAGGAGGCCTGGCGCCCCTGGGTCCTGGTTGGAAAGCAGAGCCCGCTAGGGCGCTCTGGCCCTGGACAAGCCGGGGGCCTGTCTCTGGCTGCCTCCGTCAGTAGCCCCCACCACCCACAGGGCAGTGTACCCACCAGAGAGGAGGCCCCCCCGAGAAGCCAGGCCTGCAAGCGCCAGACCCCACAGGGTAGCGCCCTCACTCTGGCTCCCAGGCACCCCCCGCCTCGCTCCCTCTCAGATCTTGGCCAAGGGGCTTGGCTGTGCTCAGGACGGTGCGGTGATGGGAGTGGGCGCTCCAGTCCTTCCTTTCCCAGGTGCAGGGGCCCCAGGGCTGTGCGCCAGCTGGGACCTGCGCGCCCGCAACCCTGCAGGGCGTGCCTGGGCGCGCCTCCTCGCAGCTGGGCCACCTCTAAGGCCCCTGGACTTGGGTTACGGGGGTCAGTCACTTGCCTCCGGGGCCAGAGCTGTGGGGCCAGTCTGTGCCCTTTGCCCTCCAGCCCAACCTCTGCCCCCGCAATTCTCATTTCTGCAGCTGCTCGGGCCTCTGCCTGCTGTATCCCCCGGGGCCATCTGAACCCCAGAGGCAGCCGGTGGAGGAGGAGAAGGGGCCAGTTCGGAGTCGCGCAGGGTGCAGGCAGCGGCCGCCTCTCGGCCTCCAGCTCAGCCAGGGCCAGGGTTTCTGCAGCTTGGCCTTTGGATGCCGTGTGCAGACCAGGGGCCAAGGAGGCTGGGTAGACCCTGGCCCCCTACACCTGACAGATGGTCCCTCCAGGGTGCGGGTAGGCGAGGCCCGGGCTGCCTTATCAATTGCCAGGAGGCAACAGGGGCTCGTGTTCTGCAGAGTCCAGAAGAACTGAGGCTGGTGGGCACTAGACCAGAAGGCACCCTCGGTGGTGCCAGTGGGGTGGGGCTTCAGGAACTCCCAGGCAGCGAAGGACATCCCAGGGGCCCTCGGGCTGCAGGCTCTAGGTGGGAGAAAGGGCTGCTCTCCAGGAAAGTGGGGAGATGCACCCCAGTCCCTCCCCCAGGGAAGGTGGCCAAGAGGGCCCAGGCCCACCACCCCAGGGAGCCCTGAGAAGCGGCTTCCGGAAGGCTAGAGAAGGGTGTGACCAGAGGCTGGTCAGGTGTCCTCAGTGGGCCTCAGGTGCAGGGAGGACTAGACGAGCAGACACCCAGCCCATCTCCCTAGGCGCCCAGCCCACCCCCACTGGCCCCCTCTCGGATAGGAATTACAGAAAGGGCTCTGTGAGTGACCCCAGTGTGTGAGGGAGAGGATGGACACTGACTGCCCCAGGGGCAGCCCACGGAAAGGCGGGAGGGCCGCCCTGGCAAGAGCCTGTTCCGTCTGCCTGCAGAGGGCGCGCGAGCCACTTTGTACCCAGCACTCACAGCAGGGCGCCTCAGGAGAGTGCCGCCCCCAGACCCCAATCCAAGCCAAACCCCACCTTGGGGCCAGCCAGTCCCTGTCCACCAGGGGGCCAAGCCCAGCAGCTTAAGGCAGGGACCAGACTCTTGCTCTCTAAGTACAGGATGAGGAAGCGCTGGAGAAGGTCGCGGTGGGTGTGACGGTGAGGGCTGCGGGGCTAAGCGAGGAAGAGGAGGGGTCCCGGAGACCCTAGCTGCAGGGCAAATGGCCAGCAACGGGCCGTGGGGCTTCCGCTGGGAGTCTGAGGGGACACGTCGGGGGATGTCAATCTGGTGCCGAGTCCCCAAGGGGCGGGGACTAGTGACTGCCTGGACAGCTGGTGCTGTGATGCCTCCTGGGGCTTCTCCAGGGAGCAGAGGGGCGGGGTGGCCCCGGAAGCACGGGCGCGGAGGAAGGGGCAGCCCCTCAGCAGGCTGCGTGTGCACTGTCACTGCAGGCCGCGCCTCGCCCGGCTCGCCCGGCTTTGAGCGGTGGCTGGATGCGGAGCTGGAAGGGACGCTCAGGCCTGGCTGAGTGACCGCGGAAGGAAACGCTTTCCTCCTCTCCTTCCCCTTTCTTTGTCGTCCGAAGGGCCACGGCTGCTGGCTGCTCGTGGCGCGGGGAGAAAGCCAGGCCTGTGTGCCTAGGTCACCCGGCGCTCGGGACCCCTGACGAGAAGTACGTGCCGCCAGACCCATGAGGCCAGGGGCTGTGCCTCAGACACCCTGTCTGCGTCAGGGGGCCCCTCGTCCCTGCTCCAAGGCAGGGCACTTAAGCAAGGGGCGGTTAGTGTCCACCGTGACCTGGGTCCTCAGGGAAGGCCGGTGGCATGGTCTGGCAGGCCAGGGGCCAGGATAGCACCGGCAGCTAGCCAGCTGCCCTCCCGCCCCAAAACCCGCCCCTCCCATGGTCCTCACAGTCCTGCCCTCGAAGGCTCCCCCACACTGGCCCAGGAACCACTCTGAGGCAGGTTCCACAAGGAGGTGCCTCTGCCCGCCGCCCCAGAGGCACTCGGCGTCGGCAGCTGCGCGGCACCTGAGGAGGCTCGCCTGGATGTGTGCAGTCGTGCGCCCACCTTCTCCTAAAGAGGCCTCACCCCTGGGTTCAGAGGCCCAGAACCTTCTTTCCCGGCACCAAAGGAGGCCTGAGTACTTCCAGCTTATCTCAGTCTCAACAGCCCCTCCTGGACGGAGAGCTGGCGGGCAGGGCTGCACACGGGCAGAGGCGCCAGCCACACGTGCGGGCTGAGCAGCCTCCCTGAGCCCTGCCCGGCCCACCCCACCCACCACCCTGACCCGCTCGCAGCCGTCACAGACCTGGGCCCAGGCGCCAGCCCACCCTGGAACACCTGGGTGGCAGGAAGTGCTCCCATCCCCCCACCTCCCCTGGCACCCAGAGCGCCCGTTCTCCCTTGATCCCCCTCCAGGGCTCCCGTTACGGGTCCCTCAGCACGCTGGCCTTCGCTGGAGCTCAGCGGCCTCCCACTCCGGTCCCCACGCGGTGTGGCTGACGGTGCCATCATGAGTCACGCTCAGGTACACTAGACGGTCCCCTGGGACGTCAACAGCCCGGGTCAGCCATTGGGACCCCGGCTCTTGGCCCAGCTCTGTCCCGACTGGTGTGTGATGCGGGCAGGGCAGAGGAGAGGGCAGGGCGGCCCCCTCCCAAAGGGACGAGGGGGGGCTCTCTCCATTCCAGAGACACCTCATGCGCCCGTGAGGGCTGCCTTTGGGGGACAGGGAATTGTTCAGTTTGCTCTTGATCCCCACCCAACCCAGAGCTGTCCATTGTGAGACCTGATGTCCTGGCTTGGAAATGGGCCTGGGGCTTGGCGTTTACCCAGAATCTCCACACTGTCCAGGCCTGGTTTTCCCTCTGCCTCCCCCCTCATTCCGAGTCTCAGCCCTAGGGGCTGGACAAGACTGAGCCACCCGGGCAGCCTCACTCAGGCCCCCTGGCCAGAGTGCCACAGCCCTGTGCCTCACGGCGGGAGGTGGAGGCAGGGCGGCAGCCTGTGGGTAAGCGGAGTATCTGGGCAGGATGCCTGAGGTGTGCCCGGGAAGCCGGGTCTTGAGAAGAGGGGGTGACATCTGGCCCCGAGGCCCTCCTGCACCCTGCCGGTCACCCACACAGAGTCCGGCTGGCAGGGGCGCAGGGCACGCTGCCGGCAGAGAGAGAGGGCCCCCTGGGTGAGGGTGGGGGGTGGCAGTTGAGGGTGAGAACCCTCAAGGGAGAGACGGAGAGGGAGGTAGCGGAGCAGGGGTGAGATGTAGCTGGGTGAGGTCAGGGGGAGAGGGAAGGAGGCAGAGAGGGTGCTTGGAAGAGGGAGAGCAGAAGAGGCGGAAAAGGGAGGCGGAGCTGCAGGGTGCTGAGGAAGGCACACAGGGCGCAGGGGATCCAGGGCAGCCCGGCGGAGGAGGGCGGCAGGGCAGCGGACAGGGGCAGGGGCAGTGCGGGGCAGCCCGAGGATGGAGGGGGCCGCAGAGTAGGGCTGGGACAGCCAGGAAACAGCAGGGACGGTGGGGGGCTGGCGTGCAGGCCCTACCTGCACAGGGGAGCGGCCGGCACTGGCGGCTCGTGGGCAGGCTGGGGCGTCGGGTGGGTCCTGGGCCCGGGGCCTCTGAGAGCAGCCGCTCGCTCCAGAGCAGTTTGCAGAGAGAGGGAGACAGAGCAGGCAGGAGGGAGGCTGCGGCTGAGGCTGACTGGGAGGGGAGGAGGGTGGGGGCTGGTGGGGTGAGAGGAGGAGGAGGGAGGAGGGAGGGAGGAGAGGGGGAGGGAGAGAGGAGGGGCTTCTCGGCCCCCCGGACTGCTTCAAAGGGAGCAATTTTCTTGTAGACAGCGGGGCTAGCAGCCCCCCTCTTCCTGATGCCCCCAGCACCTCCTCACCACCCCAGTGCCCCTCCTTGGGGCATGCCGCGAATGGACACAGCTCGTTCCCACTCACCCCAGGCCTCCTGGCGTCTCTGGGCAGGCACAGCCTTAGAGTCAAACTTTCCACTGCCCAGATGGGGACACTGAGGCCTGGAGAGGGGCGGAGCCGGCTTGCTGGCAGTGGGCCAAGCAGAGGGACAGATTTGGTGAGATGGAAGATGGGGGGGTGGCCTGGGGGGGCTAGTCTGTTGAGTGGTTCCTGGAGTTCTGTCCTGAGCCCGCCCAGAGCCTCGGCCTGAGCAGAGAGGTGGTTCTTGGGGCCAGGCCAGCAGCTAGATGGGCCAGGTCAGGCTCCCGGTGTGGGGGCCATGCTGCCCCACCCCACCCAGCCATTTTTTTCCTCTCGAAAGGGGAACTGGTTCTATCATTGTGATCTCCCATAGGTGGATCTGAGCTGGGCCTGGCAGGGGTGGGGGGGGTCACAGATTCTGGGGTCCTCCCTAACCAGCTTCTCTGAGGCTCAGACACGGAGATGGGAGGGGCGACCTAGCAAGCCACACTTCTTGCTCAATCTGCCGGTCCCCAAGGACGGCTGACTGCTGCATGGGTGGTCGGTCACTCGGGGCTAACAGGGCAGCCCAGGCAGTGGCCCAGGAAGAGGCCATTCGTGAGCACATCTTTCACGAACAATCTGGAAGCTGGGCCACTTCCCGAGGGCCCACATGAGCCATGCACTGCCTGCACCTAGGGCCCTGAGCTTTAGCACAACACAGCCCCACCCCACCCCAGTGGGGCTGAGGGGTGTGTTCCCCCCAGCTTGGTGTCCATTGGATTGCAAGGCCGGGCCAGAGGTAGCCCCACGGGGGCTGACAAAGGCAAAGGTGTAGACAGGGAGCGATGCTGAGATCTGCAAAAAGAGTACGTGAGGCGGAGAGGGAAGAGGGCAGCAAGCACAAGGCTGGACGGCTCTGCGGTCACTGGCAAGGGCGTGCGGAAGCAGCCAAAGCTGAAAGGACCAGAGAGGGAGGCGCGTGCCGTGCCGGGAGAGCAGGCTGAGGTGCACCACCCGCCCACCGCCCGCTGTCATTGCGCAGGCAGAGGGCAGGTGGCTCTCGGAGGTCCCCGGGGCAAAGAGTGGCCCCAGGAGAGAAGCTGGGGAGCTCTGGCTCCCTCTGGTCTGTGAGCCGGGCCACTGCCATGGCCGGAGGGGGACTCAGAGGACACGTGCCCTGCTAGGCAGAAGGTCGGTTTGTCTGCTTGTGTGTTGAGTTTTTACTGTCCATTGGACATGTATTCAAACATCCTTAACAGTGGAAAGAGTAACACCGTGAAGCCCCCAAACCACAGTCACCTCCTGTCCCCTCTCTGTCCCCACGACCTCCCTGCTCTCTGGTGTGCCCCCCCCCTTTGGCCCAGATATCAACTAAGTCACCTAGAAACCTGCCAGCAGAGAGCAGCAAGCAGGAAGGGGAGCGGGGCTGAGGGAAACGTGCACATCTGAAGGGACAGAAAGTGGCTTCATGGCATCTTAGGGGCAGACGAAGGGGGCCTGGAGTGGTAGTGGCTAAGGGCAGGGGCTTTGAGCCAGGTCTTCCACAGGCCAGGGCCCGCCCGGGCTCGTGCCCCCACCTGCCCCATGGCGATCCTGCCGGGGCCTGATGAGTGAGAGGTAAAAGGGCCCTGCACCCAGCAGTCGGCTTTGCCTGGGGAGGCCCACTGCTGGGCAGGGCACTGGAGCTTTCTGGTTTCTTGCCTCTCCAGGGTCAGGGAACACCCCATGTGGGGCACACTTTACACTTGGGGGCTCTTCCCCATAGTTGGGGCTATGCCTGGGGTGATACTTCTGTAAATACAGTTCTGGTGCCTAGAAGGTTCTTGTCTCTGTGGTTTGCAGTCTGCAATAAGCCGGCCAAAGGCCCACTGAGTCACTTGCCTGGCCCTCTAATTTGGGGGCCACTCCCAGACCAGCCAGGCAGCACCTCAGTCCTGGGCCTCCCTCTCCTGTCCCTGCCCCCAGCCCAGCTCTCTCTGCGCCACAGACAGGCTGGACCCCAGCTGAAGCCACTCTGGGAATGGCGTGTCCCTGCTGCTTGAGGAGCTGGGGCCTCCGTCCTCTCAACTCCCAGGCCCAGAGAAGGCCGCCGGGGCAGGGGCGGGCAGGCGGACCTGGGCAGGAAGGAAGAGCAGGCATTTCCTCAGGAGGAGGCTGCTTGCCGTGTCTTAGCGCCGCAGGACAAGGTTGTGGAAGCGCCGGCCCATGGGGTAAGAGGAGTCACGCTAGGTACAGGGGTATGGAGGTGCAGCGTCTGGGGGACCAGTGCTCTCTCCCAGCATGTGCCGCACCTCTGTGATATCACCAGACAGACCCCCAAACTCCAGCCTGGACATGTCCCGCCCAGGGCCCCGGCGCACTCCTCAGCCTGGAGGTCCCTCCCCAGGAGACCCTTCTCCTGCCAGAAGGTGCCGGTGACCCGCCTGAAGTGGGGATGAGCCCAGCAGTGGCCCAGGCTTCCTAGGAAAGCACCCTCGGCCCAGCCATTGCCGGTGCCTGCTGGAGCAGACAGGTCTCTCAGCCATTGTGGGGTGGCCCGTTCTCCCCGTGTCCAGCCAGGAGCCCCAGAAAGCGTGCAGGGTAGGTGGTCAAAGCATTGGGGTGGGGAGGTGTCACAAGGCGAAGAGAGCACAAGGGAGGCCTGTCTGCAGGGCAGGCCAAGCCCTGCCAGCTTCCCCCGTGCTGTCTGTGAAGGACAGCACAGCACATCCCCCACAGCTGGTGTGCAGCTGTTCAAGGCCTGGCTTCCAGCGGGGGGGGGCCTGGAGAGAGATTGGCACCCGAGGGCAGGCTTCCCACCACTGGTCCCCTTTAGTGTGGGTCCCTGAAGGGCAGAGCCAGGGAACCTGGTCAGGGGCCCAGGGTATATTTCCCGGTAGCCGGAGGGGGCCCTCTATAGAGGTGGTAGCCCCCGAGAGACCCCTGCCCCCTGAGCTCTGGCCCACCCAGCTGCCAGGCCCATGAGCCTCTGGAGCTGGGGGAGAGAGCAGCCATAACTGGTGTTCGAGGGATGCAGCGGGGCTGGGACTGGCCTGGCCGATGAGGCTCCTGCTAATGGGCCCCAGGGAGAACAAGTTGCTACAAAGCATGCTGGGCCTCAACTCTCCAGAAGCTTCCGGTGCCCATGGCCATGGCCGAGGCGTGGCTGCTGAAAGCTGGCACTCTGTGCCAGAGCTTTTTTTGACCTTCCCCTGAGGACATAATCACACAGCGGCTCACCACCACCAGGCCTATAATTTCAGGGCCCAGAAGGGGTCTGTGGAGGCCAGCGGGCATCTAGCTATCTTTAGAGGCCTGGCCTGGGTCGTGGCTAGGCAAGGGAAGGTGGGCACGGTGCTGCTGGGCAAAGGGGGTGTGACTGGCATGTGACTAGGGTGGGGCAGGGATGCCAGGCTCTGCTGAGGTCCCAGAAGGAGATAGCCCCCACCCCAGGCCCTCCTCTCTACCCCTTGTGCTCCTCATCTGTGTGCCCCTCCTGGCCCCACTGGCCTGACCCCCAGCTCCAGCCCTGCCACCTGAGGACCCCTATCTCAACCCAGGAACCCATGGGCACCTCCTTTCTCACTGCCACCTGATCCCCATCTCTTCTACCTGGTTGTCACTGCCATCAAAATTGTCACTCCTGTGTCCTCTCGGATGCCCAGCACTTTGACCGGGCTGTGCCCTCTGGTGGAGAGCAGTCACTGAGATCCCCACACAGGCAGCACAAACAGAGGGCTCGCAGGTGAGGAAGCGGGCTGCAGGGACAAGGCAGAGCACAGACACCCCTGCCTGGGGCAGTCTGAACTGGGCTCCCCACCAGAGCTATCGCCACGTCCCTGCCGGGGTGAAGCTCAGCTTCCAGCTGCAAGCACCTTGCGCCCTGCGCGAGGCCCAGCACCTGCGAGGAACGGCTTGGCCCAGGCACACCCCCTTTGCTGGGTAGCCCCCTACCGATGACAGCTCCCCTGGCTGATGCGGGCCCAGCCCAGCTCCAGCACACCCTTGGTCACAGGTCACCTCATTGGGCCCCTCTCTGCACCTGTCTGTCCCTCCCCCAGGTGGGGGTTCCGAGAGTCTGCCAGTAAACTTCCTGGGTGCTCATCATTGCCTCTGAGTTGGCTTCTGGGGAGACTGTGGTGGCGCGACACTAGAGGCGGTGTCTGTGGCGTGCTATCCCGGGCCACGTTACTCTTAAAGGTCAAGGAAAGGTTGGTCCCATGCCTGGGTTTAGCCTAGCTGATAGCAACCTCCGGCCCAGGGGCTTCCTGCCTAAGAAGTGGGGTTCACGGCCCCCACCGGTGGGCTTCCTCGTCCCTCCTTCTCCTCCCACGCCCCCTGGCCTGACCCACTCAGTGGGAGTAGAATGGGGATGGGGGAAGGCCCACACTTCCTGTTTCTCCAGGGCCTGACTTCTGCGACCCTGGGCAGAGGGGGCTGGGGGCTTGCTAGAGGAGGCTGCAAGGCCAGGGGGGTGGCGCCAGGAGAGCTGGGAAAACAGTGGATCCTCTGCTTCACGCTAGAGCCTTGAGGGCTGCTGACCTTTGACCCAGCCCAAACAGGAAGTGCCATATCTGTGGCCCCAGACAGGGAGCAAGAGGAATGCGGGGATGAGTCCAAAGCAAACAGCACGCCAGATTCCCAGGCCTGTCCCCGCCCCCCTGCCGGAGCCTGGCCCTTTCTCAGCAAAGCACTGGGGTGGGGGAGGAGGTGCCAGAATGGGACCCAGGCAAGAAGTGGTTCCCAGGCCCCTACGTCAGCCTATAGAGGAGGAAGTGGTGGCAGTGG